TTTTTGCCTCACATCTTCTACAGTGGTTGTCTTACAAACTGTAATCGTATCATACTCAACTGTAGCTACATTATTTAAGATACTCAGCAACTTTTAAAAAAATATATTCATCCCAGACTGAATAAATCAGATCCTCTGGAAGCAAGACTCATGTACTGATACTATTTTTAAAAGATCCTTGGGTGAGAATAATGACCCTAAATCCATTTTTTTGTTCTTGTTTCAGAAAGGACTAATTATTACTCATCAATATGTGTGCCGTCCCCCTCCATTTTAGAAAGTTGTCATGGATAGCAACTTCCACCATTCGAACACAGTCTCAATCTTATATATAGGCCAGGTAAATAGTTCTTGCCAAAAATACAAGGAACAGCTTCTGAGAGAAAGAATTTTAAAAACAAGTATTTTTATTTTCTCTTTCCTATTTGATAAATGGATGCAGGAGACTCTGAAGGTCTGGTGGACTCAAAAATCACCAGATGGAACAAGCTTGGGTTTAAAAATCATTTAAAGAAAATTCAATTGGTTTTAAATTTGAAGAATTTAAATTTGGCTAAGTCTGATATAATATTGCTAAGAAAAAAAAATAAACTGTTGTTAAGCTTCTAAAATCTGGCTGGTAGTTTCAATAGTTAGTCACCCAAATCGTGAGGGTAATACATATGGTGAAGTGGGGTGCCACTGTGATAAAAACCCAATATATAGTATCAGTGAGCAGAAAATAGGCATTAAGGAAGTAACTACCTGATATAGTGAAGAAGTGGAATAGCAGTAAAATATTTCATATGTATTATTTTCTAACTTGAAGTTCTAAAGTAAACATTCTCATGTAGAGAATATTTAGACTCACGGATGGTATTTGCCAGTGTTTGGAGACACTGTGTGTTGTTAGAATTGGCACAAGGAAGAGGCTGCAGTATACAGTAAAGCCTCAAAAAAGGAGTTATTTTAACAATAATGCTGAGGTTAAGTAGCTCAGCTCTCGGGGAGTGGCTGAGAAGAGGCAGAAAAGTAATGTTCCTTGCTGAGTTTAGCAATTACACACACACACACAAAATAGGTAAGAGCAGAGATTAGTCAGCTAAGAGGAGAAATATGGGATTCTGCTTGTTTAAAAAATAAACCCACTTGACTGTAAACAGTAAGAAATTATAAGTCTGAAAACACAGACTTAGAGATTTATCCCCACAGCTAAGATTAAAGGTTTTATTTCTCCAACTGAATTTATCTTTTGGATATTAAGCTAGTATGTATAAAAATACTTTGAGAACCGTAATAGGTCATAAAAATAGTATCTTTCAAGGCAAATTCAGTTATCACCTTCACTTCTTACATCAAAATTATACTTCAACCACATCACTATTAGTAAGCCTTTTATTCACACTCCTTCAGCACATAACTTATTTCGTCAGTTTTATGTATGAGTCTGTCACTTTCCACTGTAAACCTCTTTGTCTGTTGGCTTGGGGGCCGCCTAGTAAGGCACATTCTGAGTGTACATGTCTAGGTGGGTCATGCAGGCACAACCTTGATGTGTACTTCTACTAGTCCCTTTCTCTTTGGCTCACATTTCCAATCCACTCTACTTCACGGCCTCTTTTAATTTAAGCAGCTTTGCTCCACCACATCCTTCCACCGTGTTTCTACATGGAAGCGACCCACCATGAATGCAATCTTCTGCAACCCTGAGCCAAATAAACCACTTCTTTCTTTAAATGGTAAGTGTCAGGTATTTGGTCCTAGCAACAGAAAATACAACCAATATATTCTTGAATACAGACAGTCTTAGCCAGGTACATCATACACAGCATAGAACAGTGATGACAGACGTTTTAGAGCTGTCAGTGAAAACAAACAGCCCACTGTGGCACGCGTGCCATAGGTTTGCCACCACTGGCCTAGAGCAACCCTTAAACACAGTACACAACTGTTAAGAACATATTGTTCTGCATGTCCTTGATCTCTAGACGCTCAAAGTGAGACACAATCACAAAACAGATCACCGTGTAATATAATTCTTACAAAATCTGAGGATCTAGAGACATTTTCACATGAAGTATTAATAAGCAAACTGCTAATCTTTGTTTTTCCATCCTCAAATTCTAATTGCAAGACATTGTAGGAGTAGGTACCATGTAAAGTTGTCACTGTCTTAAATAAGAAAAATAGGTAGGAGTACATGTCTAAGGTGAGTAGTTGATCTTAAAGAGTTTGAATGGTTTTCTTTAAAGGTTAAAGGTTGCAACATAAACTAAATTGTGGTAGTTAAGTAGCAACAAGAGTAGAAAAGGAGGAAGGGAGGAAGGAAGGAAGGAAGGAAGGAAGGAAGGAAGGAAGGAAGGAAGGAAGGAAGAGGAAGAAAGGAAGAAAGGAAGAAAGAAAGAAACAAACAAAAAGCTAAACCACTGTTACTGCTTGTGGGAAAGAATGGTCAGAGGTAAGGGTATTTGTATACCTCAGGAAAGCCTAAACAGGAAAGAGATGATATAGATGAAAAAGTAGTTTCTATCTACTTTACAAGGTAGCTTAGATTCATTTTGGTATTTAGTTAAATAATTATTTGAACTTAGCTCGTCTAAGGAGTAACTGAAATTAGGAGGATGCTGACAGTTTGGGATGGATGGGAAACAAAGTAACTGTAATTTCTCTTTCAGACTTAAATTCTCTTTCCCATTAATGACATAAATCTGGGCTTCTGAAGACAAATGAAGGGAGCACATGCTGGTAAGGAAAATGAAGTCACCAAGGAGCTGCAAGAAAACAAGAACACGAAACTTAAAATGCAAAGATACACAGAAGCTTGTACAGGAACGAATAAACATCTGGTTTCCTTACACAGTTTGCATTATGTTGGCTATTTTCTGTGAGCTTATAAGTATGTAGATGGTTTAGCCACCCCCCCTTTTCTTTCAAATATGTGTTGCTTTTCTCCCTTGATTTCAAGATTCTCAGAGTCAGGAACCTCTCTTGCCTATTGCTTATTTTCCTAAGCTTACCAAAATCTTAGGTATATGAAAAAACTCAATGAAATTTGGACTGACTGAATTTAAGCACAACACAGAATTCAACTTCTCTCAACACCTTTCTCCCAGCTTTCCACCAAAACTCAATTCTCTCAGAAAAAAAAGCAACTCTGATTTCTCCTATCAACTGCAGGTAGGCCCGGGGATACGGCTCAGCAGCACAGCGTCTGCCTAGGAAGCACAAGGTCCTGAGTTCCACTCCCAGTACCAAAAAAAACAAAAAAAAAACCACAACCTGCAAGTAAATCTGGTCTCATAGAATTCTTGGCTACTAAAAGTATATGAAACATTGCAATGTACAGTTGACTTTCTAAAAGTATTGTCAAGACATATCAGTGAAAGACACCTGACAAAACTGGTGAAAGAACAAGAGCCTATGGCTAACGTTTTACTGGAAAAAAAGCCAAACACTACCTTCATCGAGGCATTGACAGAATGGGAACTGAGAACTAAAGATTTATGACTTTGAAAGCAGACAGCATCCAAACAGCTTTCATTGTTAGCTGCTAGTGATCAAGCACATTTAACCTGGTAATGACTCAGCATTACATAGATGAGAAAAGGTAAAAGCAGAAATTACAGAGCATGTCTAGGGCTACACAGCAAAAACTGTAAATGGGGTTAGGATGTTGAAATGCCCATTAATAAGTACACCTCACTACAGACTACTTTACCATTAACTTTTTCTTTTTCCTCTAACCAATCCCTCTTCTATTGGAATTTAATCTTCACTGTTTTCCCCATACTGTCCCATTTGAGGCTTGTTACTCCTTGCATCTCTCAATCTCTGGATCTGATCACATTTGTATTCATGTGGTTTTAGTAGCAGTGCTTTCTGATCTTTAGCCTGGCAAGTCTCCCTTCCTAGTACTGCACTATACCCAACATTTTCTTCAACACTACCTTGTGAACTTGAGAAAAATCTTTACATGAATTTATTTTCCCAATACTGGGTTTAAAACTGTTGAAGTGAGAAAGGATTCTCACTGAGCGCTGCTAACTAGAAGTCAGAAAACAGATGATACAAGTTTCAAATTCCATTAAGTGGTTGATGAAAAAAAAGGAAAGGTAATAAAAATAGGGTACAATGGTGCATACCTGTGGCTATCTTGCTAGTTCAAGGCCAACTTGGGCAATTTAGCAAGACCAGACATATATAAATAAATGCATGTACACATGAGTGAGTGAATGAGTGTAAATAAAGCTGGGTATATAGGTCAGTGGTAAAGCACTTGCCTAACATCCACAATACTATGGGTCTAATCCCAGTACCAAAAGGAAAAAAAAAAGAAAATAGAAACACTGTAGAGTAGGGAAAGAAGACTAAGGCCTCAAAAATATAAAAGAAAAAAATATACATAAAGGAAAAAGCAACAGCTGTCACAGATGGACTGAGACAACTAAATTCAGAAACTGTGGCAAGTGGTGGATGCATATGGCAAAAAATAAATGCTAAGGACTGGAAAAGGATAAGAGGTTAACAGTATGGATAACAGAAACACAGGCTCTACAGTCAAATACTACCTGGACTTAAATTCACACTTGTAGCCAAGTGATCTACAGCAATGAAGAATATACGACGAGCATTAGTATTTTCATCTGATTTATAATAAGAGGATTAAACGATATAAGTAGACTGCTTAGAACATGAAACAGCAATCAGTAATGGAACTCAGGACCTTGTGCTTGCTAGGCAGCTTTTATAATTAAGGAAAGAACAACCCAAAAAAGAATGTTAACCTACCAGTTGAGATTTCAAAGATCAAACCCTGGTAAACCAAAGAGCAGACTCTCAAGCTAGAGAAAGTTACAAGATTCACAATCAAATTCACAAACAGTGAACAATTTACTAGGTATTAACATTTAAAACTACACAGTTTAACCTTACTGGTTAAACTGGCAATGATACATCTCTATTTCACCAAAAAAATGAACTGCAAAAACAGTGAACAAATCCAAACGAAAGTTTCAAGAAGCTTTTTAGTACTTAACTTTCATTCAGAAAAATTATCATATACAATAGCAGACTTTATTATCTGACTCAGTATGTATGCTCATTTCTTATACTTTTCCTAACCACAGAGGTAATTCATTTAATGAACACAAGTTTTACACATTTTCATCACAAATCTTTTGAAAAATCAGTGTGCATACACACACGTACATAATATGTTATACATAGTGAAGATAACAGAAATTATGGAAAACTGAAAACCTTTTAAAGTTTAAAAATTTGGAGAAAGGCACTAAGTAGTTCATCAAAAATGTTTCAAAAATGAGAATCATTCTAATTTTTATGATTTTAAAAATTTTGGACTATAACAATATGGGAATGTTTTGATTTGACATTACAAATTAATTTTAATACATGCAAAGGGTTTTCAAAATGTTGAACAGTTTATTAAAATTTATCAAAATTCTGACCTATATTAAATTTCAGAAGAAATAATCCCTTTACAATTATCAAAACAATATCAAAATTATCAAAACAATAAACAATGAAATTCCTAGCTGGCACTTTCATAGTTACTTCTGCTTTTCATAAAAACAGATACAAACATGATTTCTTTTAAATATTAAAAATTTTATTCTTCTCTTCATATCAAATAAGAGCCAGGTATGACAAAATTTTTAAGTCATAGGTAATATTTCTAAATATTCAGTAAATAAACAAATCTTACTTTTAAATTCCCAAGATATTGTTCACCAAGTATAATGTGGGAGCTCAGATCATTACATGAAGCATTAAGAAATATGTACTATAATTACATAAATAGTAAATGTACACTATTACCCAATTCATAATAAAACAACAAATTAAAACAAGTATATTTATTCTCTGTATAAATAACCAAGTTTCCAAAAATTTTAACTGCATTTCCTACAATGAATTAATCAGAATACCTCTCTTGTGTATCAACTTTTCAAGTTTCTCATTCAGCAGTAACTTTCTATATTTATTTCATTTCCAGTAAAATCTCCCCTTCTTGCCATCCACACAAAGGTAAAACAGAATTTGTAAGTTATTTTTATCATTAGTAGATCATTATTTCCCCACTATTATTAAACTTCATTTTAAAATTATAGATCATCCTGAAACCTAACAATTTAGATCTTTCTCATCCTGTCAATCTATATATATACAGAAAACAACTATTTATATAGCCTAAGATTACTGTGGCAACCCTCAAAATTCAAGCAAAAGATTTTAGGAAAGTGCTTAAATTCTGTTCACTGTTATTTCTTACTTTTGCTAGAGAACTTGGGGAATGCCACCGGTTTTGAAGAGATGACTGTAGATGTACACACCTGAATTACACATTGGTATGGATACAGAAACAGGTTCTGAACAAAGGGACAAGACAGACAATGGAAACATAGAGTTTCCAAGCTATGACAGACACATTTTTTTAAAATCTGTAACTCACAGGACTGTGTCTGTGAATTGAGAAAACAAATAAAATTAAAACATATTGCAAAGACGATAAGCATGAATTGCCAAAACAGTGATTAAATTAAAATGCCATTATTGACTTGAGTTTGTCAGCTTTTGTTTATTTCTGATGGTGGCTCTAAGTTTGCGTATTACCAGTCTATCAGGTAGAATCATATCACCTTGTTGTTCTAGATAATCCAACAAATTTTCAGTCCACTGGAGAGCAGCTGCATGATTTATATGTTTCTCCGGAATTAGTTCTATTTCCTCCTCTTCATTTTCACTAGACTCATCTGTCTGACCTTGTGCTCTTCTGATGATTTCACTGTCAGTTAATACTTCATAACCCGGTTCAGTACTGTCTACTTCAAGCCATTTCTCAATGTTTTCAGTAGTAACATTTTCCAGTCCTTTGGTATGTTGTAAAATGGTGGCCACAGTAGCCACAGAAATATCTTCATCATCAAAGTCCATGCTTTCTTTCTCCTCTATGGTAGGAAGAATCTGCTTCCAAGCCCTGCTAATAGTAATTGGTTTTACTAAGTTCCACGCCATTGCTATTTCATAAAGTGCATCCAGCAGAGTTAGCTTCTTCCAGAATGACTTTAAGTCATTACCTTCTTCCAAGTTTTTCTGGAGAAGACCTGCACGATAGTTTCTCTTCATTGTTGCTATGACTCCCTGATCCAAGGGCTGAATCAAAGAAGCCACATTAGGTGGCAAATATTTAGCAAATATCTGACCATCATCTGAACGAAGGACATTTTCATTTGGATGTGTTGGTGAATTATCCAACAAAAGCACAGCTTTTTCTTGCAAACCTTTGGATCTTAAGTACTCTCGAACCTGTGGCACAAAGATCTTATCAAACCACTGTCTGAAAATAGAAAGATCCATCCACGCACCTTTCTGGCTGAAATAAGAGACTGGCAGGTTTAAAGTGTCAGTTGACTTGAAGGAGCGAGGTTTCTTTGCTTTGCCCACAATACAAAGTTTAAGCTTGTGCGAACCTGTTGCATTGGCACAACACATGATAGTAACTCTTTCTTCAACAGACTTGTGCCCAGGAATAGTACATTTACCTTTCATTACTGAAGTCCTGGAAGGCAGACACTTCCAAAACAGTCCAGTTTCATCTGCATTGTAGATCTGTTCAGGCTCCAAGTTCTCTTGTTCAATAAAATCTCGAAAGTTGTTACAAAAATCTTCCACAGCAGTCTCATCTCCATTCAACCTTTCATTTCTAATGTTAATCTCTCTAATGCTGTGTCGCTGCTTAAATCGAGTTAACCAACCAGCTGAGGGGTTAAAATCACCATCCATCCCCAAAGCGTAAAAGAAGAACTCTGCCCTTTTTGCACAAATTGGTCCAGACACGGGATTCCCTTTTGCTCTCTGCTGATTAAACCATTCCAGCATTGCTTTATCCAGTTCCTCATACATGGATGGTTTCATAGACTTCCTCTTGGCCAGAAGACTTGTCGAATCAGAGCTGCTTGCGTAAGTTATAATCTTTTCTTTATTTTTCCTAATATCCCGAACCGTTGTTTCCCCGATTCCATAAATCACAGCCAGCTGTTTGGAAGAACCTCCATCTTCCAGCTTCTTTATTATATCAAGCTTATCTTTAATAGTCAACACCACACGCTTCCGCTTCCCTGACATAGCGAGGTCCCGGGACTGCCCTCGCCCTGGCACTCAGTAATCCACAAAGTCCTCCCGCGTCTTAACACAGTCCTCCGAGCTTCACAGCATCCGGCCGGCCCGGCCGGCGAAGGGGCTGCGGAGGAGGGGAAGGAGGCCTGAGGGAGCCGGCCTTTAACCGCGCGGGGCGGCGGGGGAGGCCCCAAGTCACCGCGGACAGCCTGGGCTACGGACATGTGCTTTACCGCCCGGGGCCGCGAAGGGCGCGCGGGAAGGCCGTCACGC